CCCAACCTTCGTGCCATGACGGAGGTGGAGGTTGCGGATCCCTTGGCTTTCTCGGATGCAGTGTTGACATGCCGGGCATTACTAGTAACTTTACGTGATAGTTTTATTGTTATTGCATTCGATATTCTGTCCATAGGCTAAGAAGCATGAACATGTGATCATGATGGTTATGATGATGCTGACATTATTGATTGCTATACCAAACTAAACCATATTATAACTGTGACTGTTAGAGTTACTATGACTACCGTGCTCAGAATCATAATGCGAATCGTACTACCACTGTGATTGCTTTGATGGCTATGCTTACTGGGATGATCATGAATGTTGTATACTCTGGCTACTATTGCTATGACTAGTTAGTTTACCATTATCGTTGTTGATAAATTACTTATGCTGACTAACACATACGCACATTCTTGATCTTGTTGATGGAATCAAAAGTACCTAGATGGGAACTCTGAACCTTCTTTAGTCCAACACGGGTCTAGACTACCGGCGTGTCTAGATCCTGCATATCACAGCATGCCGAAACACGATGCATGAGAGGTGAGAACTTCGGAGGTGCGTGGGTACTGTCGGGGCCTGAATTATTAGTGTGAAACCCAAAGATATGTCTTCCTTGCCAGAGCCGCCGCGTAGCTGTGCCACCAGGCACAAATCGAGAAGTGTACAGCTGCTACGACGTTTGGTTGGGTTTTGGCTCAAGGCACACGAGTTCGCTATGTTCTGTGGAGTGAAAAGGTGCCGATGCCCTTCTTAGTTTCACATTGGTAGCGGAGCCTCGGGGCCGTTCCCGGGGTTCATGTCGTTCCTGGCACTGTGTGTCAACATCCTTGTCCATGTCACCGACCTTTGCGAACTTCAGAAAATCCTTCTGCCGTTAGACCGTGCTCTGCGGTGGAGATCTTGTGGTTTGGCGCCGTCGCGCGCTACTCGGTCATCTCTGCGTTTAGACCGTGCTCTGCGTTGGAGATCTTGTGGTTTGGCGCCGTCGTGCGCTGCTTCGTCATCTCCGTCTTTAGATTGTGCTCTGAGGCGGCGATCTTGTGGTTGGGCACGGTCGAGTGCTACTTGTTCTTCTTCGTCTTTAGATTGTGCTCTGAGGCGGAGATCTTGTGGTGTGGCTGCATTGTGTGCTGCCGTCACTTTCTATGCAACTACGCGCTCAACAAAGGTGTCCTCTTTGCGAGCTTCTTTTAGAACGGCCTCCGCGGCATCCTCGCTTTCTGCAGTACGACCATCGCGTTGGCCAACGTTGTCTCTGACGATGTTGTCCATACCAGCATCCTCCCAAAGTGTGCGGTCGAGGTTCTCAGCGTGTACGTGCACATCCTCTACAAGTACATCTTCAACGGCAACAGCTTTGCCCACTGAAACATCTGCACTGAGATTCACCTTCAACAGTTTGGTGCGCGGCTACACTCTCTATAACGACATGCTCTATGACGGAATCTATTCAAGTAGCTTCAACTTCTACCGCGACGTCTTGTGCAACCGCTTTCTGTACGACGATGTTGTGCACGGCTACCCGCTCAATGGCATCACTTTGGGCGACGGCGTCCTCCGCAGCAACATCTTCTTCTACCACGTCATCTAAATCAACATTGCTGGCGACCGCTACTGCTACATCCACATCATCCATTAACGCGTCCTTTGCATCAACATGTTCGCCGACCGCCTCTACATCAACATTGTCGACGACCACCTCCCCTACATCACCGTTGCTGGCAACCACACCTTCTACATCCACATCGTCGACCAGCGCGTCCTCTGCATCAACATGTTC